GGTCCTTTACCTCATAATCGCATAATCCCTCGCAGACTTGATAAATCGTGGGTACAATTGACTTGGGCAGGTGTGATGTATGCCACACTTGAGGTCGCCATCGGTTTGGCCAGATTTGACGTGGACCACACCAAGATCGCCATAATGGGTGGTGGTCGATCTTGATTGATTGGAACTGATAGCGTCCAGTCTCGGAATATTCTGAATCTGCTTGGCCAGGTTTGACGTGGACCACACCAAGATCGCCATAATGGGTGGTGGTCGATCTTGGTTGATTGGAACTGATAGCGCCTAGTTTCGGAATATTCTGAATCTGCTTCACCACAAATACCTCATCGTAGTTGATGCCATAATTTTGGAGGAATCCTTTTATAACGAGGCGCGCTTTATAGCGGTCATTTGTACCATTTCCCTTATATTTGACGACAAATACCAGCGACATTGTAGCGCTTTGTGCCCTTTGGGCAATGCTGTAAGCACCCACGTTTTTTTTTTCAAGGATTTGCACTCGGCTTGTGCAGCAGATTCCCATTGAGCAGCTTCAGTAATCGCATTGCTGCTTGGTAGGTTTTCGGTTCCAAGATATGAAGAATTGCAAGTAGCGAGTATGTCTGAGCGATGAGAGCGTTCCGTTCTTCATCATCAAGTGTTCCATCAAGTAATGTAGAAATTGGGGTCGTTTCCGGCTCTTTAGAGTGATTTGATTTCTTTGGCGTAGAGATATGGTCGGCAACAGCGAGCGCGTTTGCATTTCGATTTAGCATTTCCATTATAGTTGGTAACTGTTGAGGACGTTGAGGTTCTTTATCTTCCTGAGCTAGGGGGCTGAGTAAATCACGCGTCGCCTGAGAGTCTAAAAATTTCAAATCAGGGAACTCCTTCTCTCGAAAAATGACATCACGACTATATATGATTCTATTTTCCGTCGTGTCAAGTAGTCGGTAACCTTATTTGTTGGGAGGAATGCCCAGATACATGCATTTCTTGGCTCGTTTCTCGAGTTTGTTTCGATATAAATCTGGAATGTGCGCATATGCAGTGCAACCAAATATATATATATATATATATATATATATACTGTGCGGATGGCTTTCTGTTAAACCATTTCTCATAGGGCGTGATTTTGTCTGTTATCAAGTATAGCGCTTGGCAGGATTATCAATCCTTTACTAACTTTTGACTGGGAACCGAGTCGCCGGACACGGTCCATATCATATATAGCAGGATATCAGCGATGAGAGGGATCATTTAGGACAGGATTTACTGTACCACAAAATCGCATGACGCGTAACCAGTGTCGTCAGACAGCGATAGGTTGACATATCCCGTTTCTTGAGCATTGTCAATGCATACGGTCCGACTCCCTTAAACGCGTGATGTGCAGCACATAATCCTATTATATAAACTTCT